GAGAGAGAGAGAGAGAGAGAGAGAGAGAGAGAGAGAGAGAGAGAGAGAGAGAGAGGGAGGGAGTTTGGGGGGGAGAGAGATTGTTGAGATAAGAGATTGCTGCATGGTGTATATGTAGAGAAATATGTAGAGGATAGAGCTGGAAGTATAGAGAACCTGCTGCACTGTCCTAGGCTCACGCCATCGTTGTTATGATTGTCTTGTTTATTTTCTTCTCCTCTCTTCCGCCACTTATTTTGGAAGTTGAGCGCGAAGCTGAGCATGGAAGCCTTTCAATCATTCACAGATCTTTGTTCATCATGCAAAGTCCCTGGGCGGTTGCATTTGTCGAGTTTTGTTATCCTTCACCATTGATGTTCTTGTCTTAGCTGCCGCTGTGCATCCGCCGTCAGCTAACGCTTTGTCTCTTTTATGAGCTCTTCTGTCTTGCAGTTTTATCCTGTTAGAAGGCGAAACCAACTTGCTGCATCTGAATAATATGGCCTTTCTGAGATGCTTGTAAGATTGATGCTGATAGCTGTTTCCCTCGACTATCCATAGCTGCCGGGGCGAGTGAGTTGTATCAGCTGCCAGTATTTAAGAATTCTGTTGATATCTGTTCCTCTCGACCATCCGTAGCTGCCAGGGCGAGTGAGCTGTATCAGCTTCCAGTATTTATGTACTGCACACTGCACACTATGTAACGAGGTGTGTATATCGATGAACGTGAATCTATCTTTATAAGAAGCATTTAAAGCGAATTTATCATCAATCTTTCCACCTTTTTGAAACAAAATGGAGGTCCCGGTGCAGAGTTTTACCTAAGCAGTTGTTTTAATCACTGAACTGCCGTATTCTTATTCTCTTTTTGCTCGCTTCTGAGCAAGCTGGGAGATTCCAGATTCCCTCCGGAGGTGGTTGGCTGCGTGCTACATGCCAGTCCCCTCTATCCTGTACAAAAAGAGGATGATGCTCATTGATGCTGCACAACCTGAAGGAATGGATGTGGCATCCTCTGTCTGTGGGATATTGTGATAAGTGATACACTTGAAGAAGCCATGGCTGGGGGTGAGTGAAGAAGCGTAGAACGACATTGCTGTCTCCTAACACCATTAAGCTGTTTCCGCCATTAAAATAACAACAACAACAAAAAAAAAAATCCACTTTGCTGGATGGTGCGCTTGCCGTGAGCAGGTGAGAGGCCGAACAGATGAGAATGTGAGCATGGGAGTGTCTATGGGTATGTTTCGATTCTTTTGGATGCTGTCAAAGAGAAGGGTTGATACTACTTGCTCTATAGCTTGACGACTTGATATCGATTTTATGGTATGAGGATGCGGTGAATGATCTTGTAGACTCGGACGGAGTATGCATGCCGTTGTGTGTGTTGTGAAAATCCTTGCAGTGTGATAGCCTGGCAGCTCACAGCATACACTTGAGGTGTACTGTCCTAGTGAGACTGAAGGGCAGTTCACGACAAATCTTGTGGCGTGAAGGCTCGGGGTTGATGTTCGAGAGACAAAGTGGACACTTAGCCTGTCTTTGCTCCAAAGTAAGTGTGAGGTTTTGATACCTGCACGTGATGTAGGTACCTGGGTCAGACATCTGCAGGGCGTAAACCCCCCAAAACTTCTGCGTGGCCATTTAGACATGGAAGAGGCCAAATTAGGAGAGGGAGCACCGGCCCCGTTCCCGAAGCCCCTTGTGCTTACTTGCGTAGTCTGCGGGACGAGTACAGAGGATCTTGCAGAGAATAGAAAATCAGGTGGCCGATCTCTGCAGATCGATGCCCTTTATTGCACTGGAGAGGTTGGAGCATGCAGAGTTCCTATGTTTAAATGCTTGGGCAACCTTTACTGAAGGCTTCAGACTGTCTTGAGCCCACAGAGATCTGCTTCACTGGAAGAGAGAGAGAGAGAGAGAGAGAGAGAGAGAGAGAGGTGATGTATCATCTTTGCTAGATTTGATGGTCATGATCTTCCTTCTCCAGGTGCATGTGTGTGTGTGTGTGTGTGTGTGTGTGTGTGTGTGTGTGTGTGTGTGTGTGTGTGTGTG